AATCCCCCAGTTCCAATCCGAACAAAACCAAACCCGGGCAAGCTCCCCCCAAACCAAAACCGGGGAAAATCCTAAGGGAAGTACATACCCCTGGCTCATAGCCCTTGGCTTCCCTGGTTTTCAACCCACTTAAGCAGTATACACTGGAGGACAGTTCCTGAACTCCTTTCTCGAGAGAGCCAAGCGGGGCCTGCCTTGAGGCCTGGGCGCTGAAGCTCGCCGCGCTCGAGGAGACAGATTCGAACGGGACATGGCTGTTGTTCCAAGAGTATGCTTTTGTTGGTTCCAAGGGGGATCCCTATGGAAAGGGCGCAGAAGAAAAGAGATGAGGCTGCCGTTTTCTCTTCAAAGGGGGATCCAGGTATGTTGTTGAAAAGGGAAGACAAATGGCTGTGGGTCAAAACCCTAACCCCTGGTGAACCTCAAAATAGGTGCGTGGGTGTTCATCCGCCGAAAAAATGGCTCGGCATAGGTTATTAGCAATGGCCATATCGGATATCACGACTCCGTGCATATCCGACCGCGTTATCATATTCAATCTGAAACTGGAGGCAACTTGCCCGAATTTCTCTGACCTGAGCTTGCGGGGTCCGGAAACAAACATCGATGAGCATCTCTGACGTAAGTAGCTTGCCGCGCGTCGTTCGTCCTCAGCTGGGACCTTGAAACGAACGTCGCGAGGAGCTTGTGTCCTTCCCGGACCTGGACACAGCTCAGCCGGCGCCATTGCTTACTCCTTTTTTTCCGTGACTCGTGTCCTTTTTTTTGGGAGTTGGAAAAGGAAGACCAAAATCCATTTTGGGAGTCCAACCTAAAAGAGAGACATCCCTCATGGTCATAGGTGCTCTGGTTTGGTGCAGGTTGACAAAGGATGGCACGTTGAATTTGGTCATCCCAGCTTTTTGAAAGCCCTTTTTCTTGCTGGTTCTCAGCAATGAGTTGGAATGAACGACCCCATTTTCAGCCATCCCCAGTTTGGTTTCTGACAAAATCACTACCTAGCGCGCCAGTGGCAGGAGGTGAAGGCGGAAGTGAAGCCTTTGAACTCCGCAGCCAAGCTGCAGGACGGCGGCCGATCAGCCGCGTTGCCAAAACGTGTCGGGTTTTGTAGGGGTTGATTCCTTTTCCATTCTTTTCGGCCATCGTTCTTTTCAGAAGGCAGATCCATTTCCCCAGGGCTTGACCGGTGGTTTTCCAGAAAGAAAGATCCCTGGAAAGAATGGAAATGGAAGTTAGCCCTATGATTTTGTTTGTTTTGGTGCACCAGGGCTTTGGTTGAAATGGAATCCACTAAGCTGTGATATATACAACAAAAAGCGCCTAATCCCAAAGACTACCCCCCCCCCCCCCCACACATAAAAGGGGAGATTCTCAAAAGTATCACAGAAGTGGGGACAAGCCCATAGATCCCACAACCCACACTGCGCAATGGGCAGTTTGGGTGAAGCTGAGTTTCGCGCAGGGGTGCTGGCCGGCATTTCATTTCAGATCATGGTCCATGGGTTTCAGGGGAATCAGAGTTCAGAGTTGGGAGGTTGTTATCCTTGGGACTCTCCTTATGGTGATAGGATGCAGAGGGATCGGGTCTAGACATCATACCGCTTAGTGGTTGCCACACTCGTGTCATGCATCCCGCGCCCAAGTCTCCGTGTGTGTATGTTCGTTCTGCCTGAGCGTTACCACGGAAGCAAACAGTTGCAGGCCGATTATCCTGGTCATCACCCGCCAAGTACTACATGGAAAGAGGGCGATGGATGACGCCCTCAAATCAAAAGACACCCTTTGCTCCTTTTGCTGACGTTGGACATTATGCAGGGGGTGCAACAATTCTTGCCCCAAAGAGACCCTTTCACTTTTTGGTGCAAACATCTTGTTTCTCAGGTTCCGACATCGGGGTCCCAGCAGCTTCTTGGTTACCATACTGGGAAAGGCAGAACAGTTGGGCGTGTCAAAACTATGACCACAGGTTGGGCCTTGCCGCCGGCGGTACGTGCCGTCTCGCCTTTTAAAGGGGATGCCCCAAAAAGGACGGGACCCCAATTTTGGACACCCGACTTTTTTTGGGGGATGCCAAACAGCTCTAGTTTTGACAGAAAGACAACTCCAGCAAGCAAGGACAGACTTTTCTGGAGGACACCCTATTGTGAGGGGCATAAAAAGAAAAGTCCAAAAAGGACACCCTCTTGTTTTTGCTTTGCTAGTGGACCCTACTGCCATAGTTTGTGCAGGGTCCATGCAAGATGCACATATGTGCGTAGAGGAAATACCAAGGATCCCGAATCTTGACAGCTCCTTGGGTCCAGGACATTTTTTATTTATTTTTTAACACCCTATGGTAATACCAAGGAAAATGCCAAAAAGGACACCTATGGTTTGTAGGAAATACCAAGGAGCCCGAATTTCGACCGCTCGGGTCCGATTCGAGGACTTCGCCTGGGCCCAGGGCGCAACGCCTTTGCTCCTGGCAGTGCAGGCGGCCAGCCGATGCTCAGCAGACCAGGCGGAGTCGTGAATCGATCGGTGGAAACCGCCGAAAACGGGTTGCAACCATTTGGTTATGAATTTTAATGGAGAACCCCCTGAAAAGTGGTTGGTGGACATAAATCCCCACTTAAAGGGTCCCGAATTCAAATTTATAGCCATTCGACGCAAGCAAAAGAGAGGAGGAGATGGCCCCATGGCCACGTGCACCACGTATTGGCTGTGGCTCAAACAAAACTGAATTCCAAAATGGGTTTCCCCGGTAAGTGGAAACATGGACCAAAACCTGCAGCTTGCCCCTCCGGTTTAGTTTTGAGCCACACCTATATATATATATATATATATATATTTCTAGGAGCCCAAGACCTCATGTTTTGAGGCCTTTGGGGGTTCAAGGTCCTCGTATGTAGGGTCCAAGGGGCTCCTAGGCTAGAGACAAACATATTTTAATGTGGATAATCGGAACCGCAGGGAGAATTCATCGCGTTTGGCCCATTTCAAGTGCCTTCGAGACCTGCTCAGTCAATCAGCTCGGAACTCGCCTGGCCTGGCTCAAGGGTTCGTAATGGTTGCCTTCAAGAACTCGTTGCTTCATTCGAGCCGAGAGCAGCACCGATTGCGGGTCAAGCCACATTCAACACGAGGAAAAAGCAAAAAACACCAGCACCTTGCAAGCAAGCAGCAAGCAACCGCAAGAGGGTTCGCGGAAAACATGATAGTTTCAGACGCGCTGTGGCTGGTGTGGTTTTCAGTCTGACGTGCAGCCGGGCACACCCGGTGCTGCCCCAAAGGCCTCACCGTGCTGACCTGAGCCCGATGATTGTCGTTTGAGACTTGGGTATGGGTCAAAATCAAACCACCAGGATACCTTTCCATTTAGCAGGTCTTTTGATACCTTTCGCTAGTTGAATGGGGGTTAACCGAGACTTGGTCTTGGGGTCAAAATGGCGGGTCTTTTGCCCATTTACCAGGGCAAGCCTTGTTGGGCACCATGTTTGACCCACCGCTGAAAGACTCCAGGACCATCAAGAAACCCAAGCCCTGGGGCCCTCTGGGGGGGGGGGTGCGGCTCAGCCTGAGGTCGTTATGGTGTGGCAGCTCTTCGCATGCCTTCATGGGCCCGTGCGGTAGTGGGACGCTACATGGCGTGGGCATGAAAATTTCCGCGAAAGGAGTCGTCTTGATTTCGGACAGATCTTCCCAACTCCGGAGGCCAAAAGCCAGTCTCTTGCAATGAGAATCGTAGGTTTCAAGTTTCAAGGCTGGTACCAAAAGCGCAAATCGCCCAGGCAAGTTGAGCCCAACACGGAAATCCTGACTGAGGCACGGGCAAGTTGCCGGGTTGTTACCTCGAGAGACTGGTTGTGTCGCAGGTGGAGAGAACGCCGGAATGCGAATTTGTGGCGTCCTGAGCTTCCGAGTCTTCCGAGTCTCACAGGTGGCAAAGGGGGCTAGGGCCGAAGTCCAGAATTTGGGTGGGTCGGTTGTAGAGGGTACCGCTTCTTTGGTGGTTTTGAAGGAACACCAAAAGGAAAGCCGCCACCTTGGGGGTCCCCCTAAAAAAGACACGCCCTTTGGAGTCGCCCGAGAATTGTTTTTTGCTTCGTGAGCTTCTTCGGAGCGAGTCTTTGGATTGGGGTGAAAAGTGTAGCGGTGCCCCCCCTTCACTTTCTTGAGGAAGGGCCAACATTTTCAGAGGTCGAAGCGCCGTTCTCTGAGGTTATTACAGAGAAGGGAGTTGCAAAAGACAACCCGGTGGCGAAAACGGGAGACAAGGCCTCGACGTTGCGTAGATGAGGTGTGTGCATGCCTTTGTCCTCTCCAAAGGTTCTTCCAATTAGAAGCCATTTGCGTTTCCTTTTAGTTTCCGTTTTAACCACCTGAAAAAGGGGGTTGGCAACTCCAGAAGAGGACAGCCAGATGTATGTTTGATGTCAGGTCCATTTCCGGCATTTGGATTTCGGGTTGGCAGGTGGACATCCAGCGCTCCCTCACCACAGATGAGGGCTCTGAGAGGTCAAGGGTCAGTGGGTGCGCCTCCGTCGCTTGAATCCGCTCGCGGCACCTCCAAAATGGGCAAACAAGCTACCCTTAGAAAAGCTCGACAGGCGCCGCGTCTCATTCACCCGCGACGTTCATGAGTCAGCCCGAGGATTCTTCCGGGGCCCTTCGGTTCCCTTGGTTACCTATTCCAATGTGCCAGAACTCTCAAGCATGGGGCACCTAAAACTTTTTTGAGGCGGTCAAGGCAACGACACCCAGAGCAAGTTGCGACCATGTCTCCACAGGGGCAGCATTTTTTCGGAGCCTTTTTGGTTTTGTTCTAGCGGTTGAACCGATTCCCATCAAAAGACTCAGGTTTGTATGATGAAACTCCTTAGGTAAGTTAACCATGGTGGTTATATTAAACCCCTTTGGTTTGATGGTTTGAATCCCAGTGCTTTCCCTCCAGATGTTGGAGGAATTCGTTGTGGTGTGATGGCATCCGCTGGGCAGATGATTTGAACCGTCCTCAAAACCCGGGTAGATTAAGGATAGTAAGGGACAATCCCCTTGTCATGCATGGGTGCGGATATCCGCTTTTTTAATTGTGTACATGGTTTTGGGTAGACCATTTTGATTGATGACGCAGGTGAATCCAGGTCTTCGAAACAACGGCTCTGATAATTCAAACGGCTACACATGTCAATGGGGAACCACCTCAAAAGTGGTTGGTGGACTGTCCACCAAAGGGTCCGGCACCCAATAAACAATCATACCTACTTGGAGAAGTCTTGCCCTGTTGAAATCAACGAGTATGTGTTTATTGACATTTTGCGGCTTTACAGAGAACCCAACAGGCAAAGAAGCCCGCGGATTCCATTTTTTGCACCCAACAGACACCGAGCTGTCCGCGAGTTTCGGCCAGGAGCTCCGAAGCTTCCAGCGGCTTCTCCTTTCTGAAGGCGTTGGCTTTGTTGGGGGTCAGACCCACATGTAGAGGCCATTTCGAGTGGACGTATGCCATAAAAGGCTGTGGCGTTTTTGAGTTTTGTTTTTACCGCACCACCGCTTATTTTCCCTGGAGTTTCATCCAAATTATTGGGCCATTTTTGGTGGGAATCGGTTGAACCCTACATCGAATTTATACTCTGAAGGCAATTGGGTTCCCCTGGGGCCATTTTTCCATGGGAATCGGACGAACCCTGCTGCATTGAATTGATATTCTGAAGGCAGGCAACGAAGGCAGCTCGATGCCCTTTCGCCACTTGAAGTCGGTGAGGCTGACAGCCACGAGTTCGAGGAGAGCTCTGTGATGGAAGCCCACGCGAATCGAAGCCTCGGAAGGTGTTTCGCGAAGTTCCGAAGCGTAAGAAGGGTTTCTGTAAAGACATATTTGGTTCTACACAAACAAAAACAGCGCTTTGCACAAGCTTTTTTTTGCGTTAAAAGCGCAACTTGGCCTTTTGGGCCGACAATGAAAGCCATTGAGTTGGAATTCTCTTTGGGCCCTAAACAAAAGGCATGGGTCAAAATCAAACCACCAGGTTTTAGTCCTTGGTTCCATTTACCCTCCTGCCAATTCACATGGAACCGGACCCCTTCAAAAGGAAAATGGTCCAAACCAGGAACCCCCCACCCCCCTCAGCTTTTATGTTAATTGGTGCCAACAAAAAGGTACCTACCTTGATGGTTCTCAGCAGGGTTCCCCAAAAAAATGGTACAGAACAACCATCCCCGGGATCTCCAGAACTCGGTCACTCCATGTGCCACACCAAGCCATGTGCTTTCAAGCCCACGATGCCGGAATCGCACGCGGCGGAATCGCTCGGAGGACCCGCCCAGAGACAAGGAAGCTGAGCACCGCGAGCGGCGCCGCCGCGAGGAGGCCACGAACGGGGAGCGGGGGAAGCAATTATTAGTGCTGGGCAGGTGAGGGGAGGTCGATTTTTTTTTTGGGGGGTTTCCTCGTTTAGGTTTGCTTTTCTTTTTGTTGTTGTTTGTTTTGTCTTTATATAATATACATATATACATATATATACACATAAATAGGATTTTGGGGATTTGACCCCCCAAAGTGGTTTCCCAACTCTCAAAAAGGCAAGGGTTGGGTGACATGTCCGGTGTGCCAGATGTGGCGACAAAATTGGAGCTGCTTCCGTGTTGCTTGATATGCAGGCGCACGGAGATATTTGTTTGTCCTCTCTGTGATGTTTGCCTTGGACCGCAATATGTTTCTGTCTGTTTTGGCCGATTGAGCAGATGCGGTTCTCCAAAACTGGCAATGCCAAAATGCAAACCAAACACGCCATCCATTGCCAATTCTGAAGTGTACTTAGTTATATACATCAGAATCCCTGCAGAGGTTTTAAGCGATGCTTGTTTTGTTGCCTCTTTGGAGGCTTCAAATAGGCCTGCTGTCCGGTTCTGTTGTGCTGAAAGTCGTGAAGCTGTCTTTCGCAAGGTTACACGCGCAGCTTTTTTGTTTTGTTTAACCATTTTTTGCCTCCGAGAAGCTGTCCTGCCTGAGTGCGGAAAACCAGCAAGATCGGAAGGCAAAGGCAAGACCCACTTAAAATATGGCTGTGGACAAAGACACAAACCATTTTAAGGGGGCACACCCAAATGACTTACGCAAGACAGTAACATCTGCGTTTTTTTTGGGAAACCTTTTGGTGGGCACATCTTCGCGTTCCAACCAGCCTTCAAATAGAAAGACGAGACGTCGTTAGCGGCCAGGAGGAGGCCCGAGCCGAGCGCCGTGCTGCCCACGCCGCGGCGCGCGCAGAGGCGGAGCGGCGGAGGCGGGCGCAGTCCGCGAATGGGAGCGGGGGAGCTGGTCAACGCCAAGGCAATGCGCGTCTTCAAAACGGCGTCTTCGTTTTGGTGTTTGTTTCGTTGTTTGGCTTTTTGTGGATTGTTCTTTGTTGGTTTGTTTGCGTGTTTCATTTTTTTTGAGGGGGCTTGAGCAAATGGAAGGTCGGTTTGGTTAGTTTTGAGTCTAAAGGGGGTTTGGCTTCAAGTCCTTGGCTTCAAGTC